CTGCTGCGTTCCTCCAGCCCCACACTGTGTTATCACTGACACCAGCATCTGCAGCTCTTGCTATCTCATTCACCTGTGCCTTGCTGTGCACTGAGCTGGCCAGGTTTACCCTGCGTTGACATTTGCAGCTGAGCGCGAACCGCGTTGCTGGAAAGGGCTCATGGCGGTCAGCCGGGTAAACAGGACCCGACTTCCCTACCCTTCCCTTCCCGGTGTGGGATTCAGGCAGAGGGTGACCCTGTGAAGGTTTGATCTGGGCCTGCGCGAATGGGATCGTGGCTGTGTCGGGTGGGTGGGCAAAACGACGTCGCGTCGCGGAAGTGACGCGAACGGGCCGGCCGCGGAAGTGACGTCGGACAATCGCCGGCCATTTTGTGAGCGGGTTTTATTTTTCACTGCGTCATTTGGGGCTGAGTCCTGGTGAGTTGAGGCCTGCGCACGGCCCGTCTCTCCCGGGGTACGGTGTGGGTGTTGCGGCGGGTGGGGCAACCGGAGAAACCGGTTCAGTGTCGGGCTACTCGTCTGCGCGGTGGTAAGTTCCTCCTGAAGGGAACGGGAACGGCTACGGCTTTAGGAAATCGATGTCCCGGGAGGCTGAGAGCTGAGCCCACCGAGAGGGTGGGTGGAGAAATCGAGGGCTCCCGGGGGTCGCCTTTTACTTTTGGTCGGGGTGGGGTGGAGGTGTAAAGTGAATCGCGGCTTTTGGTTGGAGTGGGGGAAATAATCGAGGCCGGCTATATTTCGGTGTTTGGAGGGCCTGGGGGGGCTTCGGTGAGGCCCTAAACAGGGAGCTGGGCCTTTCCTGGAGTCGTAGACGTGCCTGACGCCGCCGCCTGGCCTGGGCTCTCCTCCTCCTCTTTCCACCCCCCCCCCCCCCAAGACCGGTTTGACATGCCTGCGCTCCGCCCGACTGCGAAAACGTTGGTGAATCTAAAAGAGTTTGGTACACAGCTTAAACTATCAACCGTCTCCCGCTTTTACGCGGGTTGACTTATTCTGAGGCACGTTCATGTTCCAGAATTTCTCTTTTCGGGGGGACCAGTGCTGGTTAGTTACACCGATTATTGGTTGGCTGATTGGGTGAGGGAGTCCACAGCCATGTTGGTGGGCAGGGCGCAGCGATGAAGTTGGAGCTAAGGCCGTCGCCTCCTTAATGGATGGCACAGAGGGGCTGAATGACCGGTCAATAACTCTCTTGAGCTGTGTTTGTGATGCACTGCAGGGGGTGCTTCCATCCCATGTTCTGATGCAGATGCAGGAGGTGCGTGTTAATAACATCTACAACACATTCCACCTCAAAAGTTAAGAGCTGGATAAATGAATAGAGCAAGCTTGAGAGACTGAACAGCCAACACCAACTGTATCAAATCATGTTGAAGGCAGATGAAAATGTTGGAAAATAATGCAAGTGACTGATGAACTATGGTTCCTTAGGCGCTAGATCCAGATTCTTCCAGTTATCGCCAGTGGCAGCATCTCCTAATGAGTAAACTTTATCCACTAAAGTGCCCAAAGGTCTGTTATTCAGCTAACCAAGTACAATCTTATTGCCTTCTGAAATAAATCTTTAATAAAGTCAAACTAGACACTCAATCCCAAAGTTATGACCTCATTAAACCTGTAATTTGAATTAGTTGGGCTATACTGCAAACTGCCTTCAGACTGCCTGCAAAACCACCTTGGGTGGCAGCTCAATAGCTTGTTGCCTGGAATCTTTTATACCTTGGTCTGAGCAACACATCTTTGGTCCAACACAGTGTTGCAGAACAGAGACCCAGGGGTTTCAGGACATAATTCTTTGAAGTTTGTGTAACATGTAGGGTGGTTAAGAATGCATTTACCATACCTGGCTTCATTGCTCAGACCTTTAAGTACAGATGTTGGGATGTTATGTTAAGGTTGTGCAGGATGTTGGTGAGGTCACTTCTGGAGTACTGTGTCCAATTCAGATCTCCATTTTTATAGGGAGAATATTATTGAGCTGGAGAGGATTCAGAAAGATTTAGCTGGATGTTCCTGGGAATGGAGGGTTTGAGTTATAAGGAAAGGATGTATAGGCTGGGAAGTTTTCACTGGCGATTCTGAGGTTGGGAGGTGGCATTATAGAAGTTTGTAAAATTGAGGGCTATCAATAAGGTGACTGCAGGTGTTTTTTTTACCTGGGGTTGGACTTTTCAAGATCGGGGGCACATTAAGCTGAGAGGAGAAAGACGCTTTAATAAAAGGGGCAATTTTCTCTTTTACACGGTAGTTCATGTATGGCATGGACTTGAAGAGAAAGTGGCAGATGTGGGCGTGGTTATGTTTAAAAGACCCTTGTGAATAAGAAATGTTTGGGGGGACCTGGACTGAGTGTAGGTGGGTGGGGCTAGTTTAATTTGGGATTATAATCAGCATGGATTGGTTGGATGAGTGTCTGTTTCCATGCTGTATAAATCTTGACTCAGCAGGTCGGGTGTATCGGTGGACAGAGAAACGGTTAATGTTTCAAATCTGGTCTGACCCTTCAGAAAGTCTTGGTGTGTCAACACAGCTCATGATGGTCTTTGGACTTTAAAATTTTATTTGTGTTCCTGGCACCTCAAACAGGCAATGCATCAAGTATAGTTGTCCATATTCTGGTGGCTCCTGTGTATATAAGGACATGTGACTCTAATTCCTTTTTGGGTGGTGTCAGGAATTAGTGTCTTGCTTGTGATCTTGTCAAAGGCCAGGTTCCAGCTGCCTTGCCCTTCCACATTCTGCCCTTTACACTATCTTCATGCTCTTCGCTTGCCTTTTTTCAAAAACAAAAGGGACTCGCAACATCTTAGTCCATTGCAGTAACAGCCGAAAATGAATATTTGAGACTGAAGTGTTAACACACTCACTCTCTCTAGCTATTACTGGACCTGACTATTTCCAGTGTTCTCGTATCAGAATTTCAACATTTGCTTCAGTATTTGATCGATAGGCTGTAAATTGATGCCCTATTGGTGTCTGAGGAGTGGATTAAAATGGTAGCAAGCCATGAGTGAAAAGGCCATCTGTTATCTATTTTAGAATGATTGATTGCTTCCCTTGAAATGTTCTTTGAAATCATTTTAGTGAGTTGCATAATATGTAACAATTTTTTTTTTGCTCTGCATTGGGTAAGTAGGTTCATTGAGACTTTTATAAAAAAACCATTTTGAAGAAGTCTGTTACTTGAATTTTTGGGACCTCTAATGTTTTAAAATGGTCACTTTTTAGATTTATTTTCCTAGGGCATAAAAATGTCTGGCCTTGACTAGTTTTTGCCATTTTTTATGTTGGACTTTTGAAGTTCCAGCGGCATGGTGATCACAATTAGAATTTATAGCTATGCCATCGTCTGCCCTCTAGAGGTGAAATAGCTCATTGCACAAGTTTACTGAGGTTGAAACTGCTGTTTTCCAATTTTAGTAACCTTCCTGCATCTTGACAGTATTTTCTGTTTACTTGAATGTAGGTTCCCTCATGTATCTTGCCAAATAGCCATGCCTGTTATATGCTGAGGTAGCGTGGTGCCTGTCACTGATGCATGAATGATTAAAATTTCAGGAGGTTTATTTAAAAATACTTTAACTTTTTTTTTTAAAGAGTTCGTTCAGAATGAGTTCTCGAGTGTTCATTGGTAGACTGAGTCCTCATGCTACAGAGAAAAATGTGGAAAAGTTTTTCAAAGGATATGGGAGAATTAAGGAAATTGATTTGAAGAATGGTTTTGGATTTGTGGTAAGTTTTTTTTTTTTTTTTTTTTCCCCCCCACAGCTGTAGAGCCAAGTTTTGATAGTTTACAAGAAGTTATTATTCTTACATAGCTAAGTGTTTGCTAAATTCAATATATATTGGGATGTTTGTAAGAAAAATCAAACTTGAAGCGTTCTTCCGGCTCAAGCTGGCAAAATGTCGTTAGTCTATGCAGCATGTAGAAAAAGCCTAATTGACCATGTATTTCTACGTCACAGGAAATGCCTTGACTTTATTTTACAGTTGTATATAGTATACTACTAATTGAAGACAGCAATTCATTTAACATTCCTTTTGTTGGAAATACATTTTAGGAGTTTGAAGACTACAGAGATGCAGATGATGCTGTGTATGAGATGGATGGAAAAGAGTTATGCAATGAAAGGTATACAGAAACAATTTACTTATAGTTAATGTACATTGTGTAATTAATTGTGTATTAACAGTTTAATATTTTCAGAGTTACAGTTGAACATGCTAGAGCACGCCCTAGAGGTGGACGTGGAGGGGGACGATATCAGGGTCGATTTAACCAACGTTGGTCCCGCGGTGGAGGAAGTGGAGGAGGAAGGTGAGCCTAGTGTTGTAGTTATTCGCAGTAGCTTGAAATAAATTTTGGAGAGGACCTCTGCAAAATTTTGTAAGACTGATGCAAATGGATTTTACTTGAATAAATTCAATTGTTAATAATGGGAATTCGGACTGATTTTTTATTTCCTCCTGGGGTGGTGATGCTATTTGTTTAGTTTACCGCAGTTAAGGTTGATTTAATTCTAAGGACTTTTGATAGAATTCACTGCTGAGCGCACATTTGAGTCCTAGTCATACAGCACAGAAACAGGCCCTTCAGTCCACCTCGTCTGTGATTGGACATCCCAATCTGGCCTCGACCCATTTGACCTATATACCTCAACCCTTCCTGTTCATGTACCTGTCCGGATGCCTTTTAAATGTTGTAATTGAAACAGCCTCCACCACCACCTCTGGCAGCTCAATCCATACGCGCACCCTCTACTTGAAAAAGTTACCCCCTCGGATCTTTTTATAAATCTTCACCCTCTCGCTTTAAACCAGTGCCCGCTAGTTTTGCACTTCCCCACTCTAGGTTTAAAAAAAAAACTTTGGCTATTCATCTTGTGCCTCGATTTCATAAACATCCATAAGGTCACCCCTCAGCCTCTGATGCACCAGAGCAAACAAGCCCTCCAGTCCCGGCAACATCCTTGTAAATCTTTCTTTCTTCTTTCTTCCCTATAGAAGCGTGACTGTAATTATATGCCGTATTCTAAAATTGGTGAGGCCAACGTCCTCTACAGCCACAAATAATACCCGAACATCTATTGCTTTAGGAAGTTTATTTAACCACTGACTTAGCTTCTTAGCCTCTACTGTGTAATGTTATAAAGTTTATAAACTGACCATTTTCCAACTTTGTTGTTTCCAGGTTCAATTCTCCAACTCTCTAAAATTGTGGTTTCCATTCACTGTCTTTCAGAAATGGGCCTCCAATTCGTACAGAAAATCGAGTCATTGTTGAGAATTTGTCTTCCAGAGTTAGCTGGCAGGTAGGTTATGTGTAATATTAAATGGTGTTTTTTGTGGTGTAAACGGCTGAGAGTTTGCAGTGAAACTGGTACTTCCTTTTCAATTGGCTACGAATCAGGCTTTCAAGATTAGTCAAGAATCCACTTACAGTGAAGGGCATGCACCTGACATAATGTTTTCCTGGATTAATTAAGAGCTCATCTGTTCACCAAACAAAAAGTTAATATTAAAGAAAAATTGCAGATAGCTGGGCAATTTGCAACTTTTTTTAATTAACTTGCAACTTTTTTTAAAATAATAAGCTAATACTAAATTGGCTTTGGAGTTGGCGACATCGCTCTATATAACCTTGCTAGAAAAGACTTGAGAGTTGCTTTATGCAAAGTCCAGAGAGCAGTAGTTTTGAATAAGTTGCATATTCTTTCTGGATCTGAATTAATCATTCAAATTGCTTACTGTAAAATTATTAAATAGGATCCATGTTCCCTTTACTGTAAAATGGCTTGATGAAGTATAATCTGTTGTTTAAGTAGTTGTAAATCTTGTTGATGAAAGCATTGTGTTATCAAGTATTATATTGCGCACAGTTTAATTATTCAGCCTTTCTAGAGGGGGGAGATCTTATTTGACCCGAATTATTGTTCTGAGAACTCCAGCCCTGTTATGTTTGAATATGATTTGGTGAGCATCCCAGGTCTAATCCTGTTGGCCTCATTGAGGTAAATAGTGAAATGGGCGTACTTGATGTGAGTTGTGGGTTTTTGCCCATGATTACTCACTAGGATAGTTCTTTCTCTCAGCTGACTAGGTGTGGAAAGTAGGTAAGATGCCCACAATAAGGATATTGGGCATGGTGCTGGGGGCACTGATTGCACACCTGCCCTCTGCAGCCAAATAGTGTCAGGCACTGAGGAGATTGTGAATTGTTTAATTTGCAGAACTATTAGTCTGTTTTCTGGAAATGGTTAACTCAGTGTTAACTTATTTGTCTGTTAACCTTGAAAGCCTTAAGTATAACATTTTATTTGGTTTTTAATGCTTAAATGTTTACAAAGTTTAACCAAGTATTAAAACTTTATTTACCAGCCTCTCGTTATGTCGTTGGCCTTGTGACGAGGAGTGCCGTTGGTTTTCCTAATCGCTCTGGCTTGGTCTCTTGGGCCTAGTTGAAATGCCAGTCCGCTCCTACGTTTGTCATTTGGTGATCTAGATCTGTGTGTGGTGATCTGACCTACATGGTGGGCACTTGGTTAATGCCAGTGTTCCATGCTGCACCTCGAAAATGGTGTCTTCCTAAAGTCAAGAGTTCTGGGCGCCCACTCTAAAATGAGGTCCTTGGTTGAAACAAATGGGAGAAATTCGCTAGTAGGGTTGGTTGGAAGCTCGATTGGAGTGAGGTGAGGAGTCCCTGGTCACGGCGCAAGAGTAGCAATGTTTGTTCCCATGGCAACGCCAGCGTCTGCCTTTAAGGTAGGGTGATGTCCGGGAAGGCTCGCATCGAATGATAGCGTCGCTCAAGTGGGTGGTGAAGAGCACCATCTGGTCTCCAGTCGTGGTGGTACCTCTGCGAGTGCTTGTTACATTTGGCTGGTTGAATAGCCTAGGGAGTTGTACAGGAAGGTAATACACGTTTTGATAAAATTAGAATTGTTTTTAAATATTTTTCCAATAATCTTGTATATTGGAAAACAATAGAATACATTTCTTAATATACTCTGTTTTACATAACTGATCTGATCTTTCTTAGGACCTCAAAGATTTTATGAGACAGGCTGGAGAAGTTACTTTTGCTGATGCACACAGGCACAAACTGAATGAAGGGTAGGTGACAGCATGAATTGAGTTTTGTATTTGACCACTTGATAATGATCTGATGTGTTGAACTTTAGCATTCTGTGTCCATTAAACTCCAGTCTTTAGTCTAGAATGTTAGTTTTGCCTCATGACAGTTATGTAGAAATTGAGCAAATGTTAGTTCTCTGCTGCGAACTTGTACTCGCTAGGAATTTTCTCGAGACTTGCCATACTTTTCAAAAGCTAGAAATTGAGGTTTGATGTGATGCAACTCACATTGTGAATGGAGTCATCTATATTGTCGTAGACTTCACAGTTTTTTGATATTTTTATTCTAATATTTAAGAGTAATATCTGAATGTCAGTCAGATTTGGACTAGGGAATTCTGTTTGCAGGAATAGATGAAATTGGTCAGATTAGACAGCACTTTTAGTTTGTTTACAGGTAATTTTTTTCCTCCATCCATTGGATGGGGGCATCGCTGGTTAGGCATTGTTTATTGCCCATTCCTAATTGTACAGAACGCAGTTCAGAGTCAAGCAAATTGCTGTGGGTCTGGAGTCACACGTAAGCCAGACCAGGAAAGAATGGCAGTTCTTTCCCTAAAGGACATCAGTGAACTAGATGGGTTTTTCTGACAATCAACAATGGATTCATGGTCATCATTAGATATTTTAATTCCAGATATTTTATTGAATTCAAATTCTACCATCTGCCACGGCGGTGTTCAAACCCAGGTCTCTGGATTAACAGTCCAGTGATAATACCAGTACACCATTGCCTCCCTAAAGTCAAGTGGGAAATAGCAAGTATTGTTTGTGTAGCTCTGTTTATGATCTTGCCATTCTGTAAATATTGTAGTGTGAAAATCTGATACTGAGGTACGACGATTGATCTGTGCTACTTTTGGAAAAACAAATATTTCGCTTGGCATCCTTTTGCCTAGAATGTTCAAATTAACCAGTTAATTCCACTGAGTCCTAGCAGCCGGGCCTACGTGTTCCTCTCCCCATCTTCCTCATAGAATTAGAGATCGTAGAACCCCTACAATGTGGAAACAGGCCCTTCAGCCCAACAAGTCCACCCTGACCTTCGGAGCATCCCACCTAATCTATGCATCCCTGAACACTGCGGACAATTTAGCATGACCAATCCACCTACCCTGCACGTCTTTGGACTGTGGGAGGAAACTGGAGCACCCAGAGGAAACCCATGCAGACACGGGGAAAATGTGCAAACTCCACATGGTCACCCAAGCGTGGAATCAAAACCGGGTCCCTGGCACTGAGTCAGCAGTGCTAACCACTGTGCCACCGTGCATCCTATGTGTGTCAGATTACCTGTTGTGTGGCAAGGAGTTCTACAATTTCTGTTCTGTTTTAACATGCAGTTGTATTCACCTAAATTGTTAGTTGCTTGATTTTTATATTCCCCCTGCCCTTCTTGTTGGAGACTCTACTGTAAGTGGAAGCACTATATACGTTCAGACCTTGTTTATTATCCATGATTTCCACCCCCGTCCCTCCCAAGAAGTAGAGCCTTAATAGATAGTTTTTTTTTTTCTTTAATAGGATTGTAGAATTTGCCTGTTACAGTGACTTGAAGAATGCACTTGATAAGCTCTCTGGCACTGAGCTTAATGGTAGAAGGATTCGACTGATTGAAGAGCGCAAGCAGTACAGGTAAATTTTAATGTATTCCATGGAGGCAATTCTAATTTGGTTGACAATTTTCTGCAGCATTTTTGCTCCGAGAAATCAAGAGCTGAAATTGTTACCGCTCCACTGGATAGAGCGCAGTGACTGTGTAAGAGGACTATGCCTTTGAAAGCAGCAGTACCAGTGAAATAATGGCTAGACTTTGTGTGACTTGAATTTTTGAAGTGGGTTGTTCAGGTACACTTTCAGACGTTACACTCCATCTTCATAGTTCGTACTTAGGCAGTTGCGTTGATATTGAGGCAGAGGTTGTACAAAATAATATAATTTCTCTCCTACTTGGTTTTTTAATGTACAGATCTCGCAGCAGGTCCCGTTCCCGCAGCCGCAGTTCTTCCAGATCTCGCAGTCGATCTCGTAGTCGATCTCGTTCCAGAGGCCGCAAGTCTTACAGTAGATCAAAGAGTAGAAGTCGCAGTAAATCACGTTCTCGTAGTAGATCACCTGCTCCTGCTAAGGAGTCGAAAGGCCGCTCCCCTTCCCCATCCAAGTCACCGGTGTCGGCTGAGCGTGCAAGATCCCGTTCTCGGTCGCGGTCTCGTTCACGGTCAAAATGCCGTTCCCGATCACCTTCTGGTGAAAGTGCTGACTAAATGTTATTGTCAAAAGTGGACTTTTACCCCCAAGTGAGTGAAAGTTGATGTAAAATATGGTAAGTAGGAAGTGGTGAATTTCTGTCAAAGGAGTCTAGATCTTTGTTTACTTAAATGCATATGTATAGTTATTGGAAGTAATTTTGAATTGATTATAAATTCACTTTAATTCAGAATGATTTGTTTAACTGCTTAACGTGAAGTTTTGTTTTTGCATTGATTTCACTAATGGATCTTTTTTGGTTTTCATCTATCTGTAATATTGAATGCAATTGCATAAAATTGTTTTTCTTGTGCATCCTTTAAATAAATATTCTACAAAAAGGTGTATGTTTATAATGGATTGCACAAACCTGATTTCTTGCAGATGGTCAGTACTTTCTAATTGCTAGGTAAGTTTTTTTTTAAGGAATTTTCAGCGCAAGTCTTCAGTATGCAATTGGGTTAAGAAGTAACCCTATTTTTATTTTGTAATGTTGAATGTGCATTATTCTTTGTGTGGGAAAATCTTGCCTTGTTTTCTCATAGCTTTAATATTTCAATAACACGCTGTCTTTTACCCCTAACGATTGTCATGCCCGAATAGTCATGGATTATTTGAGTAACTTGCTGTATTGGTATTGAACTAAATGAATTTTCCCAGATAGTTGTCGCATTGAAATGTTTATGATAAAGCTACCAGCATCTTCACAATTGTACTGTTTTCTTTAGCATGCTTAAGAGATGCATGAGAATAAATGTAGTTTCCCTTATCTGGTAGAGGTAGAATTTTTAATGTCCTACAAAACACAAGACGGCAACATTTTCACTTTTAAGTACTGTTATTTCATTGCCTTCAACTTTAAAAGTAATCAGTTCATTTCCATGCAGCTACATAAATGTGTTTTGGTTTTAAAAGTAGTACAGGAGATCTCCTTTGGTTCCATTCCTTTATCCTTGCTGAAGCAGTTGATCTTTAGCTAAATTTTCTTCCCAAGTAAGTAGTAATTTAAGCAGTGTGGTGTAGCTTTTTCAAAGGTGGGGAGTACAGAGAAGCTTGTTTCCAATACCTACGCTGTTTCATAGGAAGCTATTTGGGTAAATATTAATATTGGTTCTGAGGGACACGTTAAGTTTCCTTTCATGCAGCATCTTTAAAGTCCTATGTTAATTTTTCTAATCTCGCAGTTGATTTGATCTATATAGATAATTAAAGTGAATGCATTGCATATTTCGCAGATTTCCAAATAAAAAAAAAATTGATTAATTTGGAATGAGATTTTGTAAAGGCTGACTTCCTCTGAAACCAAAAGTGGTGTTGAAAAATTTCCCTTGCATACTGCAAAGCTGATTTGTTTGAACTGAACAGGTTTTTGTAATTTGACAATGCAGAACTACTTAAATGCTGTTACAGACGTATCAGGCACACAGTTATGAATCACTCGGGACGCGCTACCTGAAGCTCATTTTTGCCATTATAGCAGTCAATCTCCGAGAACCCTGGAGCAACAACAAGATATGAGTCAGTAGACATGATGGTAATTGTTTTGTTTACTGGTGCTTCACAACTGAGGACATCCTAGCTGTGAAGATATGTATTGTGTGCTGGACAGCAAAGAATGTGGCTGTTATAATCTTTTGCACAATTGCGGGGGAAGGGGTAGCACCATAGTCCTTTCCGGCATGTCTCTGCAACCCCTGAAGGGATCCAGTATCGGATGTGGAAGAAAGCCAGCAAATTGATCAAGTATTCCTAAGAACAGCCACCACATCCAAACAAATCCCTCCACATCACTAGATCCATTGATCATGGACATCAGGCAGTATGCAAGTCATATGGTGACAGATATACCCCCTCACCCCTTCAGTAGGCTAGAACACTACAGCCCCCTCTTGGAACATACCATATGGTGCACCTCTCATGTGATATGTAAGATCTGATTGATCTTATCCAGTAGACGTAAGGACTTGTTTGTCTATATTCCATTCTGACTTAAAGCAGCTAAAACAGTGAAAATAACTTCTGAGCAGTCTTGGACTGAATCTGTGTGAAATTCACTGGCTGTATAGCTGCAGTTTAGAAGAATCAGTAGCCATTGTTATATCTGCTATATTTTCTACTTGAGACAATGTGGTGTTATTTTAGAATTGATTTTAGGGCCTTGTGTTATTATATCTAATGAGGATGTGCTCTTATTGAGTAGAGAATGTGAAGAACACATAGAGCTGATTAAGGATTGTGGAATTACATTTCCTACATTGTCAATTTGTGATAGGCCAGTTGAGCAGTGTTATTTCTATCAACTACTAAAGATGTTAGAGGAAGTTAGTACACTTGAAAGGGTGATGCTTGAGGTTGTTCATAAACACAGATTGGTTGAAAACCTCAATAGGATTCCCTGCAGAACACTCAGATTACTTTTATGAACTAATTTCAATACTTGAGCCAGGAAAAAGAACAACATTGGCTCATTGAGGGCTGATCTTGCTTTACATTGGAAAGGAGGAATTCACTTTCATTCCTGCTATTGAACTGCCAGTGACCTCTGAAAATGGAAGTGACACAGCGAATTTGGCATGCTGATAACTTGCTATCCCAAACAATCATTTCATCTGTGCCTAATGCCAGGACTTCTGTAAAGAACAGATACTTTCCATGGTGAAAGGTAATAGTCTTCTCACGCGTTCCAACATCAGTCCGTAAGTGAAGCAGCAAAAAATGTTAAATGTTACAGTAGTACTTAATCGCTCTACGGTCATAACCCACATCTGTGTTAGACTAGCCAATTTAGTCTAAATTCCTTTGAATGGTATTCCAGTTGTTGCCATTACTTTGTTCTTATTCCACATTCTTGCAACTTATTTTCTCTCCAATATTTGTGAAATATTGAATCGGTTTCCAAAACCCCGTGAGGCAGTGCACAGTTTAGATCCTTCACGGTACTGAAAGATATCAGAGTTGATGTATTTTCAAAACACTTTCAAGGTATGTGTATAAATGAATTTGCAAATTACTTCTGGCAAACAGTAGTAGAGTAGTTAAGAAATTTGCATTTAAATAAGTGGTCATGTCCCAAAGAACTTCATATTAATTAATTGTGCTATATTTTTCTCTGAACATTCAACTCACTGGCTCACCTAAAGGGGCTGAATTAGTTTATCTTGCTTGGTACCGCGTACATAAACTTAGACACTCCTGATGGGTCAGTTATTTGTTAGCAGAAATTGGGGGTGGGGTTGGGAGTCTCAGTCAAGATGAGAGATGGCTTTCATTCTAACTTTTTTCGCATGTTGTCAAATTGTATTTTGCTACATGTGGTTTACCTAATACTAAAATAAAAGGTTCTGCTAAAATTTGCGTAAATGTGTCTTTATTCTGGTTATACAAGTGTAATGCTTCAATTTTGGCATTTTAATGCAACTTATTAGTAAATAAATTACCTTTATGTACTGTATAGATCTTTCTGTTAGAAATAGGTCTTCACTGTCTTGAGCCTATTCCATATTGTTTGTTCACGGGTAATCTGTATGTGACTTTTTCCACCCACTGTACAGCTCTAACCTTGCTTGTCCAGAAATTTTTCTATTATGCTAGCTTCAACATCTTTTATGGAGTTTTTTGTGAAACTTTTGACCTCTAGACAACGAGTTCCCAAGTTAGATGCGTTAGCTCTGTACACTTTTTCACCAAGGGAGATAGTTTCTCCTTGCTTTCTTATTGGGTCACACTTTATAAATCTGGTCTTTGTAACCTGTTCTCAGAATTAACACTCATGAACCATGCAAATTAAGGACCAAGAAAATACAAAGGATAGAAAGTGGAATGGCTAGAAGAGTCCAACCTGAGTAGCAGGATAATTGGTTTGACCTTGGATTACAAAGTGTGCATATTTGAACTTTTTTGAAATCAAGATGTGCAATACTGTTTGTGATAATGATTTCTCCTCTTCCATGTTTCACGTGTGATATACCAGCCTTGTGGCAAAGCAGAGCAGTTCTGCAGAGTCACTAAATTATGGAACTCCAATTATCCTTTCTGTTCAGATTTGAAATTGGGACGCAACTAGTATAAAATTGAGCTGACTTATTCAGGACTAAGTTGTTTTTTTTTCATCTTCTGCATGTATTATCTCTGTATGAGTATTGTCAGAAATCATCCTAAATGTTGTCTGGGTGTTAACATTCTCCTCCTCAGTGGATTGAAATCCTATTATGGAGATTGAGCACTGAATTGATTTACCTCAGCACAGCGGTGACAGAATTTGCTACTATCTGGAGGGGCTTTCTTTCAGATGAGACATAAATTGAGGTCCAGTGTGTTTCTTTCAGGCAAACCTGAAAGATCTCATCAAACTACAATATGCTGAAGAATTCACTCATTCTGCTAATTTATTCATCAAACAGTATCACTTAAGCAGTTTGATTTTAATTCATTGATGTTATGTTACATAACCACACTAAAAATTGGCTGTTATTTCCTATTTTACACTAGTTTAGTCACAAGTGATTTACTGGTCTCAAGTGCTTTGGGATACCCATGAACTCCCAAGTTACTGCATTTATTGGATTGAAATCAATCTATTGCAACAGTATTGTAATTGCAAAGAAAAACAAAAATGCTGGAATTTGAAAGAACCACTGGAAATTGTCTTTGGAGAAAACTGGAAAATGTTTAAAACCAGTTACTTAACAAGTATGTCTTAACTATACATAAGGACTTTGCTCCCCAGAACTGTGTATGACCAAGGGGTTCCAAAGACTCCACTGTCCCAGGGAAGAAATTCCTGCTCATCTCAGTCTGAAATTGGTGCCACTTTAATGTGAGCTTATGCTGTTAGGTTCTAGACTGTCCCGTAAATGGAAACATCCTCTGCATTTACCTTAAGAATCCTATGTTTCAATGTGATCACCTCATTTTTCTAAACTCCAATTAGTAGATTCCCAACCTGTTTAACCACTGCTCATGAGATGATGATATCCAGTCTAGAATATCATGTTACTGAACCTTCTGAATTGTTTCTAATGAAATAATATTGCTTTGACTAATTTAAGTTAGATTAAATTCAGTGTGCTTTATTACACTTGCTGTAAGTGACAAGTTCATAACACAGGGGCCTGTTCTGTTGAATTACTTGGGAGGCCTGTGGTTTTCCATAAATGGTGTCTCAGCCAATTATTGTAGACCTGAAAACCAATCAACAGCCTTGCCTCCAAATTGTAGTCATTTGGAATTTGGCATTGTTGCATTTGCTCTGAGTGCAAGACACCAAAGCTTTGGCAGTGTGGCTGTCTCTAGCAGTGTACTATACTAACAAGTGAATAAATGCCCCTAAAATCAAGCAGCTCCTCTCATCAGAATGCTGGTAAACTTCCTTAAACGTGAGTATATTGAAACCTTATTGGGTTGCATGTTTTCTATACAGTGTGATCACTGGGTTCAAGCTAGAGATGCTCAAAGGCCTTCTGCTTTCTACACTCATCTTGGCTCAGTATTTCTCAAACCTTTACCCACTTTGGTGCTTGAAAAGTTGCTGTGACCCCAGACCTGTAACAGCAATGTGAAACCTGAAACTGTTCATGATGAGGCATCTGTGATGGCTTTGGGCGGTGCTGTACTGTGTGTGTGAGTAAACTCTGATAGTAAGGTGTGAGACTGAAGACAAGCGACGTCGGAGCCTAGGTTCTGGTGGTACTAGATAAGTCATGTTCTGCAGTAACATCTACCTGATAGATCACATGTTTAACTTGATGATTGCAGTGGTTAGTTACCAAAACTTTCCGATGATTGGGCAGATGTGCAACTCAAAGGTAGCAAAGAAGTGAGTGATAGTCCTTGACATCAAGGCTGCATTTGACTGAGTGTGGCATTAAGGAGCCCTGCCAACACAGGAATCATTGAGTATCAGGGAGAAAACTCTCTGGTGGTTACAGTCACACCTGAAACATAGGAAGATGGCTGTGGTTGTTGGAGGTCAGTCATTTCATCTCCTGTCCTCGAGGACATCCTAGCAGGAGTTTCTCAGGGTACTAATCCTACGCCTAACCATCTTCAGCTGCTTCATTGACTTACCCTCCATTATAAGCTCAGAACTGGGGATGCTCACTGACGATTGCGCAATGTTCAGCACTATTTGCGACGACTCGGGGAAAAATCTCACGGGTATATGCAACAAGAGCTGGACGATATCCAGGCTTGGGCTGACAAGGGGCCAGCAATATTGCTACGTAAATGCCAGGTTATGATCATCACTAATAAGAGACAATGTAACCAATACCCCTTGACATTCAGTGGTGTTACCAGTACTAAATGTCTCTTGCAACATCTGGGGGGTTATCATTAGCTAGAAACTCAACTCGACTCTGCATTATCACAGTGACTACAAGAGCAGGTCAGAGGCTAGGAATGCTATGGCAAGTAACACGTTACCTGACTCCCTGAAACCTGTCCACCATCTACAAGGTACAAGTCAGGAGTGTGATGCAGTACTCCCCACTTGCCTGGAGTGCTGCTCCAACAACACTCAAGAAGCTTGACCCAATCCAGGACAAAGCAGCCTGCTGGATTGGCACTACATTCACAAGCATCTACTCCTTCCACCATCAATGCTCAGTAGCAGCAGTGTGTACTATTCACAAGAAGTACGATCTGCAGAAATTTACCAAATCTCAGACAGACAGCACCTTCCAAACCCATGACCATTTCCATCGAGAAGGTCAGGGGCAGCTGACATATGGGAACACCATCTTCAAGTTCCCCTCCAACCCACTTATCTTGATTTGGAAATATATTACTGTTCCTTAAGTGTCACAATCCTGGAATTCCCTCCCTAATGGCATTGTGGTCAACCTACAGTTGGGAGATGGCAGTGGTTCAAAAAAGCAGCTCACCACCACCTTCTCAAGGGATGGGCAATAAATGCTGGCCAGCCAGTGATGTCCACATATCACACAGAAAAACCCCTGTAATCAAGAAAGAAGGTAGGAAATTACAGGCAATTAACTTGACATCTGTCTTGGGGTGTTGTTGGAATTGATCATTAAAAAGTTATGGCAATCTTGAAGATTGTGGAAGGGAAATATTGTTCAGTCAATTCTTAGTTCTTTGAAGGAGTAACGTGATGTGAATAAAGGGGAACCTGTCGACCGTAGAATGCACTTGGATGTTTCAAGGCTTTTAATAAGCTTCCAAATCAAAAGTTGTGGAAAATAAATGCTCAGTGTGGAGGTAACAAACTGGTATGGACTGTTTTCTGCCAGCTCGCCAATGTGCATAAATGCATCTGTCCTATTGGCGGGATACAATGAGTGGAGTCTTGCAGAGATCTGCATAAAGTCTTCCATGTCTCAATTTACATCAATCACTGAAGGAAGCAAAGGCATGATAACTAATTCACATTACAAAGATAGCAAAGTATAGTTGTGAAGAAAATATATTGCAGACCTGTGGATAAGTTGAGTGAGTGGGCAAAAATCTGGTAGATGGGTGTAATGTGGGAAAATGTGAAGTTCATTTGCAAGAATAAAGCAGAATATTACTTGCATGGTTCACGAGGTTAGTGTTCAGGTGCAGCATGTAGTCAAGACAACTAATAGAATGTCACGAAGAATTGAACATATACAGATGTAATGTTTCAGTTGCACGGCATTTGTGAGATCACACATTTAAGGACAGCGTGTAGTTTTTGTCTTTGATGTAAATGCACTGAGGCATCTTCTTAAACTGATTCTGGAATGATTGAATTGACTTATGAAGGTAGGTTGGACAGGCTAGACTTTCTCCCAATGGAGTCTAGAAGCGTGAGGAGTGATATGATGAGTGAGATAAGGTCTTGAATGGTCATAATAAGGTGGATGAAGATATGATTTCACTCTAGTAGTGACCCCAGAAACAGGGCGTGCTATGTTAATAAAAACAGAAATTACTGGAGAAATTCAGGTTTTGCAGTATTCCTCCCCTACCCCAGAACATCTTCAGCGCACACAGCACCTTTTTTTTTTTCTGGATATTATCAATTCTAAAGAAGTTTCAATGGACTCAATGTTAAGTCTGCTTTATTTCCACAGATGCTGCCAAAGCTGTTGAGTTTCTCTAGCAATTTTCTGTTTTGTTTGATTTCCAGCATCTGCACTTTTGTTTTATTTTAGTGGTACTCTGTTAGTGTTGGACAGAGATGAGGAAAAACATCCTTTGAGTGTTGTCCTTCTTTGGAATTCTCTCAGCTGGTGAAATTGGGATTGTTGAATATATTTCGGGCGGACGTAAGTAGATTCTTGTAAGGCATGCCAATCAAAGATTATGGGGGCAGATGGAAATATGAAATTCGAAACACGAACAAATCATAGTCATACAGTGTAGAA